AGAGAGAGAGAGAGAGAGAGAGAGAGAGAGAGAGAGAGAGAGAGAGAGAGAATTACCGGAAGAGAGCAATGGAGTTCATCGCTGCCATAACTCAATAGAGTGAATGCTATTGCTAGTAGCAACTGCAACCCTGTTCAGTTCTTAAATAATTTTTATGGGATATATATATATATATATTTTTTTTTCATAAATTTTTTTAATCCAAAATTCGACTCGAATTTAATTTAATTTTACTCTGCTCAATATTATTACTATAATTAAAAAATAATAATTTAATTATTATTATAATATTTTCAACAAAATTCATTATGCGTTTATTTTTTAACAGTAGCATTTTTTAACTACTGTTATCGTTTTGAATTATTATTTTATTATTTTTACATCACATAAAATTTAATTATTACATTTTAATTCAGATTCGCTCACAAATTTTAATTATCACATCTAAAATTTCACTCAATCAATGTTTTCTAATTTTAACTCATTTTATCAAATAAATCAAATCAAATCCAAAAGAACTTGCTTCCAATTGAAAGTTCATGTTAAACAAAACGGGTTTAATAATTATTAAGGAAATAATTAGCAATTTCATCCAACAGTAAAAGAGGCAAATATTAAAATATATACATCATCATATCTCCATTAACACCTTCAACCACAGGCAAATTCTATATACACAGGCAGCTCATATCCTTGCATCTATATACAAACACACATCGATAGAAATTTATTGATATCTCACGCGCTTGCCGAGATGGACACTGCACTAAGCTCGACGTGCTTTTTACCATCCTTTTCTGGTTCGGCAATAACCAGAGTAGCGTGAGCTTCTTCCTGCACCGACCCCCCGTCACTCCCACTCGCACGAGCCACATCAATGGTACCCACAAGAGGCTTTTCGTTTTCCGAGTCAAAGTCTCCTATAATTTCCCATTCCTCCCTAATTTTCGTAACTTGCAAACCGTCATTTGTCTTGAAGGCCTCCAAGTCAAAGGCAGTTGGTAGAATGACGTAATCGTTCAAAGGGTTGTAGAAAGGATCATAATCGGCTTTCAGCCAGTGCTTCAGAATTCTGAAAACGTGTCGGTCGCATAGGATGCCCCTGTGGTCCCCCGGGACTCCCACCCGAGCCTCTGCTCGAAGCCCGTCTGCCTATGTTTCGGAAAATAAACATCAGTTCGCTAAAAGTTTATATTCTTGGATATAAGATGTTCTGATTTTGATTGGATTTTTTTGGTTTGATATAGTTAATTTTGCAATAAATGGTATGGTTAGTTGTTAGTGAGATTTGAAGTTTATATTAAAATAATACCCACAATAAAATAATTAAAGATGATTTGATGTATAAATAAGAGAGATGATGTGAAGTGATGGTTAGGTAGAACTATGTGAGTCGGCAAATAGTGAATTAAAGTTAATGAAATGTGTAAAGAATGATTGAGTGATATTATTTAATTATATTGATAATATTGAGGATAGTGAGATTGAGTTAAACTTGAGTTAGATTTGAATTTGAAAAAGTAATTGGATAAAAAATGATTGAATTTTTTTTGGAAAAAAAAAAAAAATTGTATCCAAGCATAGAATTTTCTTTCATCGGTTTTTAGCTTGGGAGGGAGATTATGTTACAAGGAGAAGTTCGTTCTTGGAGAAACTCATGCACTTTTCTTAGTTTCTGAATAAATAATATTATTTATTTAAAAATTACCTTCGACTCTTTTCAGAATAGCTGAAAGCTAGTAAGACTCCTTTAATTGTTAATAATTTCAACCAAAACCAAAGATCCAAACCAAAACATTATAAGAGAAAACGAGATTATTAACTTACTTTGGCAGATTCCACTGGAACAGTGCCATCACCATCGACATTTATGTACTTGGCCTGAAAAGTTGCAACATTTGAGTAACATTTTTAAAATCAAATATGTCGTTGCAGCAAGCATATTAATATGGTGTATATGGAAATCCGCTGATGTCAAAATAAAATACAAGAGCTTTCTTGGAATATTGGATTTTAAGCTGATGTACAGAATTTACCAGGAGAGTGGGCAATTCACGCAAATCCGAGACTGGGGCATTTTCACTTCCATAACTGCAGAATAGTACCTTGTAAGATTACCGTTGAATTTTCACATCTAGTATGTCTAAAATATTCAGAAATATATTCGGATTTCCAAAGAGTTCAATTACCAAACAGTATGAGGTGTGTCATAGCTTGTGCCGTAAATGTTATAAAATTTAATTTGGCCGGGAACCTCTGCAGAGCTCAACAACTTACGAGTCTCGTTAGCCCATTTTAGAATCTCCACGTTGAATGGCACTGATATATCTGAACCATTAAACTTGATCTGTACAGAAAGCCAATAAATGACATGTCATTCTTAGAAACGACGAAATTAGTACATTAACAATTGTATCTCACCTTGTTTATCGAAAGTGCTTCCATAAAGATCGGTATAGCTTCTGCAGGCGAATATGACTCCAACATCACGGTGGAACTCTCATCACTATCGTGTCTTTGTCTCCATATTTCAAGAAGTGGAACATGTTCCCATTTATAATCTAAACAGGCCATCAATTCATATATTGACGGGCATTCAAGTAGCTGGAACGCAGAATATGTATTCGTCAGCATTTAATGCGATAACAAAATAAATCAAAACACTAAAGAACCTAATCGAGAATAAAGTCACTTCTTCACATCACCATGGTAACATATATACAAATTTTTGGATTAACGTAGCAGACTAATGGTGTGTAAATTCATTGATAGATCTTATTATTATTATTATTATTATTATTATTATTATTATTATACAGAGAAAAGATGTTTATGAATGGGCCAGGTGTACAATAAACAATACACTTTCTCATAGAGAAGCAAATGACAAACTTCATACCAATTGTTGCATACTCCATTTTGAAATAAAAAAATTCTGCTCCCACCCTTCAACAAACGATGCTCCATTCAAAAATGTGGAGGTTATATATCCAGGTGCACCTGTTATAATGCAGTAAACAAAGCAATTATACATACATGTTAAATCCAGAGTTAACAAAATGATTTAACCAGGTGAGGGAATATAATGATTGGTATATTAGTTCTTCAGCTTCAAAGTAACAAGACTGAATAGAAATTAAACAAGGCATAGCAATATCTACATGCATTAGAAACAATTATGCTTGATATTGGGATCAACTTATTATATATAATCTCATTACTGTATATATACTTAAGAGACAAACAGGCGCATGGAAAGTTGGGAATACAAGTTCAAGTAAAATATCTGTGCAAAACATAACACAGCAATGGTAAATATGATACACTATCACTTTTAAGTTATCAAAAGTTCTAAGCTTGTTACAAGCATCACGATTCATTTTCAAGAAATTCTACCAAAGCCGCTGATATTAATGCAAAAAATGTAATATTTGAAGTCACATACCTCGAAAGGGAGCTGCAATAGCAATCCAATTTTTTACATACTTCTCAAATTTCTAAGGAAAAAAGAAAGGAAAGTTACTAATGCAATCCAAGACAAGCAATT